TCAACATTCCAATTCCTTGACAATACATGTTACAAGTTGCATTTCCATGGCATCTTAGAATACCGAGCCTATTTCTAAGTGCATATTTGCACTGTGTTTCATTAAGCCATCCTAACTAACATGAACTTAGACCAATCACCGCCATTTGATTACTAACTAGTTTCTGTTGACTTGCGAGTATCAGGTAAGCATTTACGCTAGACAAACAATGTGTGTGAGTGTTGCCATACAGCATGCTTACTATGAGCTATTTGCGTATGTAGTAACTGCGCCTGGAATCTTGTGGGTGATGTTGGATTGCTGAATTGGGACAATTCATGAGATAGTGTGCGTGTATTTTAGCGTCTCTATATCTCTAATGTCTCAAAACTCAAAGCATTTCCCAAACAAACGGTATAATGCGATGCTTTGACCCAAATTAGCGCAGCCCTTAGTCTATACTTGTTTGATGTGCGCATCACGGTTAGTAAAGTATTAGCTAAATAACCGAAATAGATAACCATGTGTTTTCAAAAACCAAGATATCCATGTTTAGTATGTGGCCATCTTTGATCGGACGAGCGAGGGCCTGCTCATAGCTGACCTTTCCAATCCCAATCGTACCCAAGTTCCTGAGCCGAGGCAACTTTGGTGATGACGGACACGTGGCCTTAGGCAACGAGTTAGGGTTTCCTAAATTTCCCAAAAATAAAATATTTAGGTGGCGACTCTGTATCTGGCAAAGCAGTCCATGTTTGACACTCCTTTACAAAAAAATCTGTTTTCCAAAACGATTTGCCAGATTTGGACTCTTCGACGATTCATCGGTCTTGCATTGCACTCTGCGAGATTAGATACAGGACTGTGACATTGAGTCCTGAACTGTAGTAAGCCCAAATGACCAAAACGGGATTCCCTCCCGGGACGTTCAGGGCGCGTCTACACTATGCCTTGGACCATAGCTTGCACTTGCACCAACAACTACTTAGGCATGTCTTTGGCTCTCCCAAAGGGCACAAATGTGTGTGGCATCAAGGTGTTGACCCTTGGATGGGCGCACCTTGACACAATGCCAAGTGCTTAGAAGTAATGGATTTCAAACCGGCCACCTACAATTTCATGCAGACAACACATGATTAACATACTCATTCATAATTTTTGCTTTAAAATAAATAAAATAAAATAAAAATCCAACACAAAACAGAACAAAAATATATAGAACTATGGAGTACAGTAACATTATGTACAAGAGAATGTTTGATTTGAATACTCATCAAACAGTTAACGGGCGTTCTTTCTCTAGGATTGATGAGTATCTCAGTGTTTTAGCATCAACTAACAACTTAAGAAGCATGTATCCATCAATAATAGCCTGAAAACAAATACCTGCAAGGCACCAGTACCAAGAACAAGCAGACAAGTCCTTGTATTGAAAAACTTCAAGATTTCAACAACATGATGCACAACTTCTGAAGACAGTGCTAGCAAATTATTATTAATATCAATGTACTCTGACAACATCTTCAGCAAAGTTAAGCCATTGAAAAAGCAAGAAACAACCCCCCCAAAAAATTTGCACAATATCTAATTTAATTTGCACAATATCTGTTTTGAAGGATAGATACATGTTAATACATAATTTAAGGGCTCTCCTTCCACAACTCCGAAACCACTCGAATTTGCACAAACACTTCAGCAATTATTTTTTTATCTCAACTTTTCATCAAGGCAGCCGTAGGGTTTTGGTGTTGGAAAGTAGCTATTTTAGCAACTGTTTTAGTTATTGGGATCCAAGAAATTTTCCACATTGAATAAACAAAATAGTTCAAAATAACAAGTCATCTATGTTAATTACCTGTGTCCCAAATTGTAAGTTTTAATCTTTTTCCACCAATTGTTAGCAGCTTGATCTTGACATCCACACGTGGAAATGGTCATAGCAAGAACCTTAAGCTCAATATTAAATGAATTCAAATAAAAAATGAGTAAAGCCCATCAAAAGAAAAATAAAGTGCACATTGATTTTTCAGTTTATATCATTTCCATTCTTCACATGAAAACTATATTAGCTGAACAAGCAAAAAGAAACTACATTTCTAAGCCAAATTGTTGCGTGGAAGTTCAAAAGACGCAAGTGGATGAAAACGATTCCAATCATAAGAGAATGGGAAAATAACATAACAAGCATCAGCAACATTTGAAGAAGTAAACCCACTTCAGAGCTGAAATTAGCAAAATCACATCACAAATAGTTACAAAAAAATTTGAGCAGCCCTGTCAAAGTAGAGAAGCTTTCTAATGTGTAGGTTTAGATCCATAGAAAACAAAGTGACAAACAACAAATTTTGTATAAGTTCAGTTATCCTCTAGATCATCATATCTTCTAAGTTAACATCATTGAGATTCAGTTATGAGAACAAATAAGATTAATTTAAGTAACTAACAATAACCTGTTTGAAGTGGGCCTCATAACCAATAGGAATGTGGAATAAATGGATGGACTAAACTGGTAGAAGAAACTAATAATACCTACAACCAAAAATACAAAAGTAAAAGAAAAACAGAAATTTTAAAAATTATGATAACTAACAATCTTTGTACTTTTTTAAGATGGAATCGATCTAATTACCTCGCTAAGGTGATCTCCAATCTTGAGTTGGTGGTGAAAGTTCCTGCAATGAATGATGCGTTGTTTAGCTCTAACAAATAAAAATTAAAAAAAAAAAACATTGTTGGACATAAAAATAGACTCCAAGAAACTTGGTTACATGGAGTACAAGAAGGCATAATTTTTCAAGTTAGGCTGACAGTGATAAATAGAAGCGAAATACCATGACATTGTTCTATGAGCAAGAACGACTTGTTAGTCTAATCATTTGCGGGATGAACATGTTAAGAAGAGAATTTTGAGATACTACAATGACTAACAAATATATCAAAGAACATTAAAATGGTTAATATGTGTCACTTTGAATCTATATTATCCTTCAATGTCCTCTTAAATGTTTCCCAAGTGCAAAATAGAGCTCCATGAGAAGGTTCTTCAAAAAGTGATCCTTGAATGTCTTCATTTTCATGCTTTTCCTGAAGTAGACATACAAAATATGTAGAAAGTAAGATCCCCAAAGGGTGCTGTAATGGATTAAGAAGCATTAGGAATAATAAATCAGAATTGACAAATATGTGGCAAATACAAGAGCTTGGCAAAGAGTAAATTTAAAGCATTTATTTGACCTTCGAAATAGAATTCAGAATGAATTTAGCATAACAGTGGATTACCTCAATATCTAATACCCTACCAACGAATGAAAAAGAAAAAATAGCTCCTTAAATATATTAGGGTCATAACAAAAAAAGCAATGAGGAATAGAGTGAAATAAGAAGGTCCATTAGTTCATGCCATAAATAGATTGCAGCACTGGTTTATTTAAACATTTGTTCTTTCTAGTTCTTGCGAGTTTTTAAATTTAAATTGTCATTTATTCACCAAACAAGGGGAAGGAAACATATGCATGTCGGCAAACAAGTAATCATATTGTGAAATCATATTATTGATTAGAGTGGTAAAAAAATATTCCAGTCAAGGAGAACAAACTAATAAAAAAGCAGGGTTGTCATCATCAATCAATGAAAGTATGTTATTATTGGGTTGGGCATATTATCAAACACATGGTGAGCAGAAGATAAAATTATAACAGAACAACAAAACAAAGACAGCACATAGTGTCAGCCAAATATTAAATTGAATTGGGGCAACAGAACAAGGAAATCACATACATATTGTCAAACAAAGCACCCTAAAAAATCTAAGATCTTTCACCAAGAACCCAATGTCATATGATCGAGCACATGGTGGACACACAATTAAATAGTTGTGATGATCAAGAATAGAGCCCCAAATAGACAAATTAGGAATAATTTCATAATAGACAAAAGGAAGAAGACACATCTCAGTTTTTTCAGGTTGTTCTAGCTCATAGAACATACACCAATCCAGTATGTATGGCCATAAATATACTGAAGGTTCTGTTTCGGTGATGAGTTTGAAAATCCACTCAACTCTTGAAGATCTTCCACCGTTCCACCGATTGCACCACTCAACTCCTGAAGAGAGCTTATTGCTTGTGTCATGAGCTTATCCCTTCTTGAAGGTTCCTGTTGCTTGTGGTGTTGCTGAAACGGTGATAGCGGTGTTTGCGTTTTGTGCAAGATTCAAGAAGGGAGAGATGGTGGCCTTTGATTGGTTGGTCAATTGGTTGTAGATGTTGTGGCTACTGTCATTGTTAAGGAAGGATCGAGAGAGGCATAGCTGACAAGGAAGGGTGAGTTGTAATTATGATTTGAATAGAAGGGAGATGTTAGTAAATGGACTGGTAGATGCTTTATAACCAAGCACCAACGTTACACTGCGTTACACCACAGTTATATCCTTTTTATATATGTTATAGATTAGTATAAATAATATATTTTAAATATTTTATATTATATTAAAATAAATTAAATAATAAATAATATATATATATAAATTTTTGGAGTTGGTTGGTGCCTCAAAGATTGAGGCACAACATCATATCATATATATCTTATATATATTATTAGAAATAATATTTTTTTCATGCTTACATTTTCATCGTTTTAATTTTTTTTTCTTGAAAGTCTCGTCAATGTGTATTTTTTTAATTACATTTAGAATTCTACAAAAACCCAAACCTAATTTAAATTATACTAATTTTACCTATTTTATATGGATTCTATTTCATAAATATTTTTTTTCATATATTTTTCATCATAAATTGAGATAATTTATTTATTTATTTTATTTATTTATTAATTTTTCTTCTTTCTTATTTTCCTATGCATTATTCTATATACAATACCAATTCTATATTATTCTATATTATCGATTTGTTGTTTAAATTTTATAGTGATTCTATACATGAAATTATACTTCATTTCCTATATTATTTTTAAAAACCACAACTTACATGAAGAAAAACCTACAAAACAATTATATTCTCAAGGAACCTCTAAAATTTAGATTTACTGCTTGAATTACTTTTTCAATTATTGAACAGTAAATTCTTTTATATTTTGACATTATATTATAGACGATTAATCACTTTATACACTAAGATGTATTTATCGTTTTTTTTTTTCATTATTTTTTCTTTTTGAGTTTAGATATAACGATTTTGGTTCAAACCCGACCCATTTATTACTTTGGATCCGGATTTTCTTGTCTTAAATTGTAACGCCCTCAAAATAATACATATAAACGCATATTCTTGACATGCATCGGCATACGAGAATAAAACATATTTCCATTCATCAGAGTATTTAGTACAAAAGTATTATATGTTGGCAACAAAAATAAATGCCCTACGGGCTTACAACTTTCCAAGTCAATACTTGGGTTCAACAAAAAAAGAGTTCTAACTCTTTATACTAATAAGCCCTTGGCCTGAATTTACATGTAATACGCAAAAATACAACAACAAAAGTTCTTTCGCCTCTAAGCCTCCCAAGCTACGTCCTTGGAGGTGGCATATCACCTGGACTTGAAAATGATGTCCCATATAGGGTGAGCCAATGCCCAGTAGAGATATACTAAACCAGATATAAGCAATAACTAAAACATTAGCATAAGATAAATCGCTAACATTTGTGAACCAACTTACAACCCAATACAGTTCCATGACAATTATGTACATGTTTCAGTCCACTATCCTTTACTTAACCAATTCAATTCATAAACATGTCTAAGAACCTGGCCAAATAATTAGATGAGATAACAACTCATATAACAACACTTCCAATAACCACAATTCAATGAGACAACGGCTCATATAAAAAACACTTCACTACTTCAATTAATACACATATTCGCTGAATTAATGGAGTCCATCCCCTATCTCCTCCCAAACAGATTTGAGAGTCCATCCCCTATCTCCTGTCAAACCATGGAGTACATCCCCTATCTCCTCCCAAACAATATACATATACAATGTATTTAAACACCCATCATTTACAATGATCAATCAATACACATATTCGATGTATTATTCCAATCGTCATATTCAATGACATATTCCAGATGATTAGTTTTAGTTTTCCCTAATCAACATACAGTGTCTACAACAATCAAGACTATCCTCCACCGATAGCCCAAAACAGTTATTTCTAAACAGATAATAAATGCATCAACAGATATAATAACAACATTTTCATAGGTGAGTGATTAATTAATCCAACTACACCATTCAATCTCATAATTCCCCAATTTCATGAATTTCAACTTAATTTCATATTTCCACAAATTAATTATTCAACACAATTAGGGCATTTTTCCCATTTTCTCAAATATTGACCCTAAGACCAAATTCCACCAATTTGACTCACAAACTCATATTCCCAAAGTCTTATATGCATATGGAGCTTTAAAACACAAAACCCCTCTTTATAAAATTACGAATCAAACCCTAACTTTTCCAAAATTACCAAACAACACCACTTAATAAAATGACTAAAATTTATGTCAAAACTCATAAGATGGAGTAAGGTATCCCTACCTTGAAATGAAGAGACCAAATGGAGAAGATGAAGAAAACCCAATGTGCTCCAAATCCCCCACTTTTCAGATTAAAGTGAAGCGCTCGCGACCTTCTATCTTTCTTACAAAGAGATTAGGGTAGAAACACTCTAGAAGTAGACGAAACCCTAGAGAGAAGGTGTTTGTAGAGAGAGAGGAAGCCGGATCTAGGGTTTGAGAGAAAAAGGAGATGAAAAAGTGTGTAAAAACCCGCTGTTGCCAACTGATATATTCGAGGATCGCTCGGGCGAAGGATTGGTCGCTCGAGCGACCAGACACAAAGAAACCTTGCTCGAGCGTAGAAAGCCTCGCTTGAGCCAACAATTCGAATCTTCAGGTCTGCAACCTAGAAGCACGCTCGAGCGAAGAAACCCAAAACATACAGCTTGCTCGCTCGAGCGAAGGAAAGCTCGCTCGAGCCAAGAAATGCAACCTTCAGGTCAAAAAGAGACGCAGGCGCAAGCTCGAGCGCAAGACTTCTCGCTCGAGCCATCAGACACATCACCTAACTCTCGCTCGAGAGAAGGAACCCTGGATCGAGCGAAGGAACTAAAACACAGAGCTCGCTCAAGCGAAGACACCAAAATCCGGGCAATAACCATTTATTCCCAATCACAACCAACCTGCTACAAACCTACCCAACACATCCTAAAACTCAAATACAAGGAATTAAAGGATGGAAAAGAAACATATGCAACAACAGACATCCATGGAACCTGGTCCGGAATACAACATCCAAAGGAGGAAAAACCGGGATCGCTATATAAATGGTTGTTCATGTTCTTATTCATCTTATTCCTTGTTAAATTTGGTTGTTGGAGTGTCGTTGTTTCATTTGGAACCGGTTGAGAGTTAGTTTTTCAAACGAGTTACTGCTTAGAATTTGACTTGTTCGCTCGAGCAAACTTTCTTGCGCTCTAACGGTCTTTGAGATCTCTGAGTAATTTTGCCAGCTTGCAAAACTTCTAGGAGTGTGGTGCTCTTCACTTGGGCGGTGTTTCTTGCATTTGAGTGGTCTTCGCTCAAGCGATTAGCCTCTGTCTGCAAAACTTCTAGAAGGGTGCTATTGTGCGCTCGAGCTTATTGTGTCTAGTTGCTTGAGCAGTCTACGCATATACAAGTCTGTAAAAGTCACTTTTTGGATCACTTTTTCATCTCTCTCTATCTCTCTAAATATTTAAAAAAAAAAAACCTAAATCCACACACTCTCTCTCTAGAACTCATCTTCAAGTCTCAAATATACCATCATTCTTCAGTTTCTACACCATTGTCCTTTGGGAAAAAGATAGAGCTTGCCTAGAGCGTCCTTTTGATCAAAGCAAAGTTCATTTTCGTCTTCATTGAAGTTTCAACCTTATTTTTTCTTGTCTTCTAACTTTAGGTAGGGGTTCTTCGACCTTTTTTATGGTTTTTAACTTAATTATTTGCCTTTCTAAAAAATATTGTGATTTGGGAATTTTTGGATAAAACTTAGGGTTTACTTTTCAAATTAAAAGAAGGGTTTTTAAATGAGTTCTCAAAAATGGTTGTGGAGTTGTAAATGTTGTTGAGTTATGTTGAAATGGTGAATTTCTATACTTAAAATCAATTTTTTAAGAAAAGAGGATTTTGCCCTAAAATCATAGATGTTTGATTTTGTAAAAGGAAATGGAAATGATGTTGGATTTTGAAAGAATGGAAGGGGTGGTTATATTGATGATGATGATGGTGGAGTTGGATATGTATTATTACTCCTATCTCGGAATTTATGAAATATATATTTATTGGGATATTATCTGTTTTGAATAGAAATATCTGTTTTGAGTTATCTGTGGATGATAACTATGATTGTTGTAGAAATTGCATAAGGATTAGGTGAACTGAAACTAATCTCTCATACACATTGCATTGGGCATTGTTGCATACTTAACATTGAAATGAATTTATTTTGAGAAAAAATGGATAAAAATCTTGGTGGATCTAGGTAGGGACGTGGTTGTGGTATTATGTTGGCTTGTGTGTCCTTAGTGAAAGTCCAGAAACCTGCATGGTTCGGTGTCAATCCGTCCGGTTAGTCCAGAAACCCGTGTAGTGCTTGTATAGCTTACTGGCAAACGTGTACCTAGAGATTCCCAGTGATTGTATCCACTGCCCTATTTTTTTGTTATAAAGGAAATGTTTTCATGAATTGAGATATAATCTGGCATTGCATGATTTTAGAAAGAAATGTAAAATGTTTTGGTACATGACATTGCACATGCATTTACCTTATAGTTTTGTTAAGATTCATATATTATGTTAGAGTATCTCTATTGGGTTTTGGCTCACCCTATGTGGAAAATCGTTTTCAGGTGCTGATGATATGCCTTCGCCAACGACATAGCTTGGGAGGACTTGGAGCCAAGAGCTTCTCTTTTTGTTATTTGTTGTAATTATTTTATACAAACCTAGGGCTTTAACTGTATTGAGTTAAAACTCACTTTTGTTGTACCCAAGTATCGTCTTGGAAAGTTGTAGCCATTAGGGCATTAAATTATCTATTTAACTTTCTTATATCGTTTGCTTGTAACAGATGCTACATATTCAAGGTTAGAGCTTATGAATGTATGATTGCATGTGTCATCTTTTGTAAAATGGAATCATACGAATGGAAGGATATTAATTTCGAAATGTATTGTTAGTTATTTAATAAATGTTGTGGGATGAATTATTGTTATTATTTCGGGGCGTTAAATTAGATGTTGTTATGTGATTCTTTCTTGATTAGCTGTTGTTGAATTTTTTTTATATAGTTGATATTTTAATTTAATTAAGAGTGTTTATTTTACAATCTATCTCACCCCCGGGGGTTACTCAAGCGCACTAAACAGTTTGGACCCTCGATTTCTTTGACCTAGTTTCATGAGTGTAATATGAAACATAGATGAGAGTCCAGATCCGACAAATTTTATAGAAAATACATTTTTTACAAATTCTTTGCCAGAAATGGACTAAATCACTAGATCTCAGAGTTGTCACCTTATCTTTTGAAAAAACTAGCAAACCTGTGACTCGTGCCAAGGCCACTATTCATCATAACCAAAGATGTCTCGGTTTGGAACCTTAGGTATGAGGGAGGAATGTAATTAATTGAGCATTCTTACTCACTCGATCAAAAAATCGGCCTCTACTAACCATGATATGAGGTTTATTGACATTATATGTTCATATTCCAATTATTAATAATCCTAACAATTACTATGTGAAGTAAACAAGTATAGACTATGCCATTCATTTTGGAACTATTTGATTTCATGTATTTTGAAAGATAGTTTTTGAAAATGTGCACTCAACGGGAATTAAGCTCCCAAGCATGAAATCAACATTATTTCAAATTAAACGACACAACCTTCATTTACCGATAATCATAGAGTTATATCAACTAAGCAAATAGCCGCATAGTAAGATACTAGAAGTAACAACCCTGACCTGTGATTAGTTGTTAAATCATGATTAAGGATGCCTAATAAGTAGTTAAGAGGAAATCATGTGTTAATTGCATGAATTATATGTTATTTGCATTTGTATCTGTTTATCGTAGAAGTATCTGTTTGTGTTTCCGTTTTGTTTTGTGAATTGAAGGCCTTATCGGCGTTTGATCACAAAATTGACTGGATTTATCTATTATTTGGAATTTTTAGAATTTTGTGGTAGGTTTAATTGAAATTCGATTTGGAACAAATTAATTAGAATAAATAATGCCCATTTGATTAGTTTAAGCCAAGTTTAATTAAGTCTCCTTAACTAAGCCTATATAAGGCTAATATGAATCCTTTAGTTCATTTTTGGCACTTTCATTTCATTATCTTGAAGCTCCAAACGTGAGGGAGAGTGAGAAGAGTGAGATTAGAGTCAATTTGGAGAAGAATTAACCTCAAGGTAAGGAAATTGCTACTAATTGAGGGATTGAGCTTGGAGACTCAAGAATCAAGCCTTTTGAGCCTAAATTGGAAAGCCTAGGTATGGGTCCAACCTTTAAGTTTTATGATTGTGACATCAAGAACATGAATTCAAGAGAATTGAGTTAAGTAATGCATAATTTGAACTTAAACGGTTGAATATGAGAGTAGATCATGCACACATGTGCATTCCATGGTACTTTGAAGTTGAGTTCAAGCAATTCTCCCATGCATGTCATATTTTTAACTTGATTCTGAGACTTCATCATGTTTTCTATCAAATTACCTTGTTTGAGCATGATTTGAAAGGTTTAAGTTTGAAGAGATTACATGCATGTGTATATCATGAATTTCAAGCTTGATTTTTGCACAATTGGCTTGCTTTTGGGTGTTGATTTTGCGAAACAATTTTGAATTCAGCATGTTTTACAAGTTTACAGAAGTTTCCTTAAGTTTTTGGTCCCAAAGAACTTGATTTGCAGCTTTGAGTTGAGTTTTGAAGCTTGGAAGCAAATCTGGGAATTTCAAAATTCTACTTCTTCGCTTGAGTGACAGAACCTCCGCTCGAGCGACCACTCTTCGTTTTGCACCTTCGCTCGAGCAACCAAAAGTTGGCTCGAGCGTAAAATGCATGCTCCCAGAAGTTTACAAGTTTTGCAGACCACTCGAGCGATCAGAGTTACACTCGAATGAAGACCTCAGTCACACGCTCTAGTTATTGTCAAGCGACTATTGAGAAAAAAAATCAAGCAACCAGTACTTTTGTAGAGTTCATAGACTGCTCAAACGACCACCCTTATTTTTGAACCTCCGCTTGAGCAAAGGAAGTTGCGCTTAAACGAAGCTCCTGTTTTCAGCAAATCTGACTAAGTGCTTTCTAGTGTATTTTGGCATCCTCATTGCATCATAGGCATTCCTAAGCCTAATTAAGACATAATAATAAGGATAAGACTTAGAAACACACTAAGAACGAAACGCAATAAGTTAAGTATTATCAAGGTGTGTGTTTCAATATGTGTATCTGTTATGTTTGTGTAGGTCATGCGCTGTAAGCTATTTGATTTGTCTGCTCTATCTGTCTGTTTCTGAAGCCATCAGTGAGTAATAACTTAGTAAGGTTATGTTCAACTTTATTTATTTTTTGAATGATGCAATAAGATCTATTTTATGAAATGTTATATTCTGTACAATAAATGATTGTCCAATTTCTGACATGTATTTGTGGCATTCTTAGCACATGGCCCTTGGCCGGGGGTAATAATACCGTGGTCTCATGGCCTTTGCTCGGGGGTAATAATACCGTGGTCTCATGGCCCTCGTCTGGAGATAACAATACCGTGGATTAAGTATGTTATCTGTTTCCGGTACCAGAGGTTCCTTTATGGAACTGGTCAAGTATGACCCGTAATGCTCTGTATCTGATCTGTTAGCGCTAATGGGTGTACCACATATAATCCTCTGTGAAGTTGAATAAGAACATGCTTTTGAACTCTGATTAAGAATATGAATCTATTTCTGCTTTCTGAATCTGATACGGGACATCCCTTTACTCTGTTATTATTCACTGGGCTTCTGCTCATTATTTATATTATGTATGTAGGTGACCAGGCACGTGACCAGACCCAGAGTTGATGACTTAGAGTTTGGGTTTTGTCAGCCAACCTGTGTGTCTCCCGAGGAGGTTCCCTTTTGAGACCTGATCAAGTTTATATGAAACAAGTTTTTGAGACTTCGTATTTTCTTATGTTTTGTCTGGACATATTTTTGAAATTCTATATATGTGGATTTTGGTAATGTATAACTGATGTAAATATGATGTTTTTTTTTATTTCTTTTATATAATTAAGTTTTAAATTTTTTGTCCCATGTATGTTAGTACAACTCTATAGACAATGTATGTTTATATTGGCTTTCGCTAGCCCCTTATAATTTTGTTATTCTGTTCAGAGGCCTTGGGTAATCCTAGGATTACAGGCCGGTTACAACACTAAACCTATAGGGGCGGGTTTTGGTCATGACAGAGTACTATTAGAACACAAGTTATACCACACACATGAGGCCATATGAGCTATAGGATGTTCTAGAAAAGGATTATGGGCATTTCATCTGCATGTATGGGTGTGTGTGTGTTAATATCTGTAATTGTGAAAACTGAATTTGATCATGAACATATGAACTTGACAAAAATGAATTGGAACTAATTACTCTGAACATTGTAAAAAGAATTATTTGTCTATGTTTATTGGTACTCTATTTGCCCATAGCAAATGTAGAATATAAGAAGTAATGATGCAATTGAATCTTCTGAGACTCGCATGAACCGAATGGAAAGAATGCTTGAAGCTTTGACAGAAGCAATAATGCAACAACAAAGACAACAACCATTGCCTCCTCCGTCACCTCCAGTCCAAGCAAAACCGGTGAACACTGACATCATTAGCTTGACTCAGAAATTCAATAGGATGAAACCATCGACTTTCTTGGGTGGAATTGAACCTTTAAAGGCAGAAATGTGGATGCTGAAAACTGAGAAGTTATTTGAGGTCTTTCCATGTACCGAGACTCAAAAAGTTTTGTTGGACACTTACACTTTAAAGGACGAAGCCCGACGTTGGTAGATGCTTGTCCATGAAAGTAGTGGGACTTTGACTTGGGATCAATTCAAAGAAATCTTTTATGAAAATACTTCCCTCAGTGTTTTCGAGATAGGAAGGTGTCTGAATTCCAAGAACTCAAACAAGGCAATAGGTCAGTAGCCGAATATGGGGCCAAGTTTACCGAATTAGCCCATTTTGCTCCTCACATAGTGGATATAGACTATAAAAAGGCTCAAAAATTTGAAAGAGGACTGGATCTTGATGTGTTTGATCGAGTAGGTGTCTTAAATTACCCAAATATGTTGATGTGTTGGATAGGGCTCTAATCCCTGAAACCAACTTAGCCGCAAAGAAACAAATGAAAGCTCCAACAACTGAGTGGCGAGGTAAAAGATATGGATTTAGTTTTAAAAAGGGTCGTTCAGTTACTACAAATAAGAAGCAAAACATAGTATCCTCCAACAGTTCAAGCCAAAGTAGTGGATCTATGCCAATTTGTTCTAAATGCGGAAGAAAACATAAAGGCACGTGTTATCGTGCATCTGGTGCCTATTTTTCTATCAAATCTTTGCATAATGCAGACAAGTTGGCCAACTTGTATGTATATGAGATTGTAAAATTGCATGGAGTTCCAGTTTCCATAGTATCTGACAGAGATCCCAAGTTTACTTCGAGATTCTGGTAGAGTTAACAATAGACTTTGGGAACTGAACTAAGACTAAGTAGTGCTTACCACCCATAGACGGACGGCTAATCAGAAAGAACAATACAGACTCTAGAGGATATGCTCAGAATGTGTGCCTTAGATTTTCAAGGCAATTGGGAGACCTAGTTACCATTGGCCGAGTTTGTGTATAACAATAGCTACCATTCGAGTATTTGTGTGGCTCCTTATAAAGCTTTGTATGGTAGAAAATGTCGTTGTCCAATCTGTTGGGCCGAGGTAGGTGACAGACCTTTGTTGGGACCGGAACTTGTGCAAGAAATGACTGAAAACATGAAATTAATTCAGCAGAGACTGAAAATTGCTCAAAGCCGCCAAAAGAATTATGCGGATATTCGAAGAAGAGACCAAGAATATAAAGTTGGGGATCATGTGTTTGTCAAAGTAACTCCTATGAAAGGGCAAATGCGGTTTGGAGTGAAAGGTAAATTGGCACCGAGAAATATTGGGCCATATGAAATCCTTGAAAAGATCAATCTGGTGACGTATCGGGTAGCTTTGCCATTGGTCATGGAACATATGCATAATGTTTTTCGTGTCTCAATGCTTCAGGATTATCTACGAGATTCATTACATGTCATTGAACTAACATATGTGCTCTTAAAGGATGACTACAAATACGAAGAGTGGCCAATTTAGATTGTGAACCTCAGAATCAAAAGATTAAGGAACAAAGAAATACAATTGGTGAAAGTTCATTGGCAAAACCACGGAGGGACTTATGCAACTTGACAGACTGAAGAAGATGTGATGAAGAGATACCTTGATTTATTCCCTCTGGATCTGATATTCTTTCAAAACGAAGGAAATTCGAGTTTGGAGGACCAAACTCTTTAAGAGGGGAAGATTGTAACAACCCTAACATGTGATTAGCTATTAAACCATGATTAAGGATGCCTAATAAGTAGTTAATAGGAAATCATGTGTTAATTGCATGAATTATATATTATTTGCATCTGTCTATCGTAGAAGTATCTGTTTGTGTTTTTGTTATGTTCTCTGAATTGAAGGCCTTATCAGCATCTGATCACGAAATTGACTAGTGTAGATGTCCCTGAACGTCCCAGGAGGGAATCCCGTTTTGTTCATATGGGCTCACTACAGTTCAGCACTCAAAGTGTCACGGTCTTGTATCTAATCTCGTAGAGTGCAATGCAAAACCAATGAATCATCAAAGAGTCCAAATCCGGCAAATCGTTTTTGAAAATAGATTTTTTTGAAAGAAGTGCCAAACATGGACTGCTTTGCCAGATACAGAGTCGCAACCTAAATATTTTATTTTGGAGAATTTAGGAAACCCTAACTCGTTTGCCTAAGGCCACGTGTCCGTCATCACCAAAGTTGCCTCGGCTCGAGAACTTGGGTACGATTGGGGAAGGTCACTTTGTGAGCACCCCCGCTCGCCCGATCAAAGATCAGCCTCTACTAACCATGATATCGAGTTTTGAAAACATTATGCATTCTTATTCCGGTTATTAGCCTAGATTTACTACGTGATGCGCACAACATATAAGTATAGACTGGATCGCTTGAATTGGAACAAAACATTTCATGTTTGTTTTTGAAAGCGGTTTGCTACTCGCAAGTAGGCTTAAAATGCAGATTTTGCCACCCTCGGGTAGGCTTAGAAAAGATGGTTTTGCCACTAGCTAGTGGACTTAAAACTCACAGTCAATGCATTATTCCAATTTAGATAATCCAACCTTCACCCACATGCATTTAGGCAGGTATATCACATAAGCAAATAGCCTCATGGTAAGCATGCTATCATGGTAGTCACTCACACACATGCAAGGATGATAAAGTATAAATACTTACCGAGTACTCCAAGCCAAAATAGAAGCTATGTTAGAAATCCATGCATGATTCTAACTATACAGAAATGCCTAATGCAACGCATGCAAAAATGCAACTACAATACGCTCGGCTATTCTAAGAATGACATATGAGATGCTACAGCTAACACGTATTCAACTTGGAATAGAAATACGATGCAGTTAGTATGATGCGCCGAGCCCGGTGCATGCAAGACAGATGAATGGATGCAAACATGTGAGCATAAGTATGCTAATTGAAACATGCCATATTCTAACCATCATAAGCTGGTAAATAAAAGGGAGAAAGAAGTGGGGGTTGGAAGACATACATCACACACAAGCACACTTATTACAAAATTGCCTTCCCCGGAGGGTCCGAATGAATAATACAGTCTGAATAAATAATTACAGTCTGAATGAATAATTAAATATTACAAAATCCTAAATAATTAACAAATTAACTAGGAAAGCAATAAACTAGTATGCAAATTCATGGACCGCCTCAGCTCTGATCCGAATGATGAAAGATGCATGCTTGAGTTGCCTTGCGCGGAAATCCATTGCGATGCCCCGATTCGCCTTTGTTTGCAATTGATCCCGGAATGCTGTGCAAGGCTTTAGAAAGTTGCTGATTTTTGATTTGCTGCAACAGAGAGCAAGAAAGGGGCATGGCAAAGTATTTTCACATATGTATGCACACTTCGATCCTCATGCTACCAATCACGCATCTCGATGCACGATGGCCGAGGAGTCGAATTGCACAACTCAATGTGAAATGAATGCACGTATAAACACAATAAGGCGTAGACTCCATCATGGTTAATCCGGAGTGTCGGCGACCTGGAATTGAGACATGTTTCGTCACTTTGAGAACGAAATGTCCCTCGTTTCCCGTGCTTGGGCTAACTCCTATCCCAAACACAATGCAAATAAGATGGCATACACAATGCGACTAACATATAACCTAGCATACGCAATGCTATGGACTAAAAATGGCATACACAATGCACGTGATGTAACATGGCATACACAATGCTCTAACATGCAACCTAGCATACGCAATGCTATAAACTGAAATGGCATACACAATGCACGATGGACTTACACCAACATGAGTGGACCTCAGCCACACTCACATCAGTGGCCATATGATGAAAATGAGACAACCGAAATATATGCAAACATGCACGATGCAAGGGATCGATCCTAAGGCATCAAATGCCACTCTACCAAAGCATGGAAAAGGATGCAATATGGCATACAAGCACACAAACTCTAGCTCTGAAACATGATACAAAATGGTCCCGAAACATGCAAACATGGCACACAATGCAAGCTAGGGGGCCCGGGTACCGAAACTAGTGAAGTGCGTTACTCTAGAGGTACCCAAAACAATGCACTAATGGCAAAATCAACCTCAAACGGACCTTAGGCAGGTCTGAAATAGTGGTGAAATGGCCTAAAATGATGGCTCGGGATGCAACGAAATGGAGCCCATTCAATGGTCCGAAAACAAGGCATCCATGGACAACTCTCAAGCACACTTAAGGAGTATAAAACATGGCAATATGGCATTGATACAAGCTCTGGAATATGATATATAATGAACCCAAAACAAACATCATTCGACCACAAGACCCAAAAATAGAGCTAGGGTAGTCCAAAATATGCACAAAATCAGTTTAAGGCAAGGCCAAAAAGAGCTAAAATCAAGGGTCAACAAAGCATGCGAAATAAGCTAGTGAACCATGATTTACACTACAAGTATGTGAAGCACATGAGGGCTCACCGAACCAACCAAAAACAAAAGTATGCCATGCCAAAATATGCCCAAATAACCATTGAAACTCAGTCAATGCATGCAAAAATGAAGTGTTCCTTTGGAAGGCTATGAGGTGGATTACTCTACACATACATGATGGACATACAAAGTGGCAAAACTACCTTTGGAAAGAGGTTATGACAGCCCTAAAACTCACTGAAAAGGGCCTAAAATGGTTCAATGAAGCATGCAATGAAAGGTCCCTTTGAAAGGTCTTGAAGAGGATTGTTCCACACATGCATGAGGGACACGAAATATGGCCAAAAGGGCTCTAGATAGAGCTAAGGCAGACGTTAAAACTCACCAAATAGGGCCTAAAATGTGACTTCACAACATGCAAGTAGGGGGCCCTTTGGAAGGCCAAAAGGGCCAACAATTAAGACAAGGAGAGAGGGGGTCACCCCCCTCTGATTTTGGCTCTCAAAATAGTATGCTAGCCACTGAAAATCCACTGGATTTCAGTGGCTAGAAGGCCAAACAAAGCATGAAACAAAGGCCTAGATACAAGGCTCAAAACAAGATGCAAACAAGCATATAAAGGGGTAGATGACCCCCAAAAGAAAAATTCCCTTAATCAAACTTCAATAGGGGCTCAAAATAAGACTCTTTTCAGTTTATGAAAAATCTCGAAAATGCTTGCAAGCAAGGCTAAGATAGGAAGCAAAATAAGCCTACAAAGAGGGATGGAACATACAAGGAGGTAGATGACCTCAAACAGAAAAGTGTCCTTAATCAAACTTCAAGAGGAGCTCAAAATAAGACACTTTTTAGTTTAATAAGAAACCCAGAAATGCCTGCAAATGAGGCTAAAGAATGAAGCAAAACAATGTCAAAATAGGGAAAATAGAGACTTACCTTTGTAGAGAAGACCTCCAGCAACTTCTGGACCAAGATAGTGAGCCTTCAACCTTTGAAAATCAGTTTCAAGATGCTTGGATGGATGGTGGAGGTGTTGGGCTAAGAGGTGTAGTGTAAATGGCCAAGAACAAGGGTCTTTTGAACACAAGAGAGAGAGATATGGAGAGGTGTATGTATGTATGCCTTAGCAATTTTTCTGAACCCTTTCAAGTGAGGGATATGGTTTCTCTTATAGAACAAAGGGTCTAAATCTTCTCAAAGAAGCTTCAAACTAAGGGCCAAGATCCTCCATACACGTGTATGGAGGATGTAGCAAATGCCTCCCAGCTGGCACAGCTGGAACACACTAACTGAGACAAACAGGATGGGAGTTGGCCGACCAGTCCAAGTGGTTGGCCGACCAATTTCCCTGGCTGGCCGGCCAGGGTTCAAAAAGGTCAAGAAGAAATGCTAGTCGGCCATACCAGAAAGGTGGCCTCCCAAATGAGTACAACACAGCTGTATGGTGGGAGACCAGAAATTGTGGCCCAAGAGAGAGGAAAACCAGCTTTCTAGCAAGGTTCAAAAGGGTCAGGAAGAAAATTTGGTAGGCCTACTCATATTGGTGGCCTCCCAGGTGAGTACAACACAATGGCGGTATGGGAGACCAGAAATTATGGCCTAAAAGTGAGAAAAACCAGCTTTCTGTCAAGAAAATCGGCTGGAGGAGAGAGAAAATGGTTTCCAAAAGAATTGCTAGTCTCCCACCATACTACCACCTTCCTAACAATGAAAATAGGGTCCATACCAAAAATGAACCATAACTGATGCAAAACGAGGGTTCGAGGGCCAAAACACGCGGCCCGGGGCCCGGAAAACAGGCTGTTAGGTACTGGAAGTGGTGTGTGACCACGAATGTGGTCTCTCGAGCCACAGTGTCCCTCAAAAGAGAGGAAACAAGGTGTGTGCCAAAAACTGGAGCAAATGGAGGTAGTTAAGTGGTCCCGAACCAAGGCACACGGTCGACGGCTCCGAAAATCGGAAACTGGTCTCCAAACGGGAAAAAATGGCCTACGACCACGAAACGTAGCCTACGGCCACTGAGAGATGGTCTACGAGACCTCTACCTCCCTTCAGGAAGAGAGAACAGAGAAAACATGACC